TTCTGTAATCTAGCTGCCATCACCACTCCTTGTAGTAATAAGGTTTCCTTCTCTGGCTTGGGAAATTCCTGAAGATTTGGGAGTGGAGCCTGGGGATTCTGAATGTACTGTTGAATATATTGTTCAGAATAATAAAAAAAACACTTATTTTTTTAAAAAGTGCAGGGACACTAATCTGGGAGAACCAGGTTTGATTCCCCATTCCTCCTCATGCAGCTGCTGGGTGATCTTGGGTTAGTCACAAGTTCTCTCAGAGCTGTTCCCTCAAGAGCAGTTCTCGAAAGAGCTCTCTCAGCCCCACCTACCTCACAGGGTGTTTGTTGTGGGGAGGGGGAGGGAAAGGAGATTGTAAGCTGCTTTGAGACTCCAACTCTTCTCCCCCCCTCCTCTTCTTCAACTAAAGTACTTCCTGCATCAGAGTGAGGGAAGCTGATTCTTGCCAGTCCCTCACCCTTCTTAGCAACTCCAGTGCTCTGGGGGTATACTGTTCTAGAGGGTCACCTCCATTTAGAAGCAGCTGTTCTGGAGGTGCAGGGTGCTCCTGGAAGAAGGGAACGGTGTTAGTATGGATCGGAAAGATTTTGTGAACAACAGGAACCTGGGGAAATGGGGTGATTCTCAAGACATCCCATACACTTTGGCATCTTCTGCCAGCACGTGAAGCCTTTGGGGATTCATTTGGCATACCCCCAGTGGCTGTTATGGGGCCTCTTTCCTGGTTTTGGTGTTATGTGTGTTTATATATTTGACTGAATTATTTGATATGTTATTTTAAATGCTGTTTTAATGCTCAGACGTTTTAATGTTTTCATGTTTGCCATCTGGGGGACCCTATTTGGGTGGGAACAGGGGGGACATAAAAAAGTTTAAAATATAATAAATAAATGTAAGTGACAATAGATTGGTTTTATACCTTTTATTTCATTCATCGATACCCCACCCTTCACCACAATGGGAACCCAAAGCAGCTTACATCATTCATCTCTCCTGCATTTTCTCCTCGCCATCTGATCGGAAAGATTTTGTGAACAACAGGAACCTGGGACAATGGAGTGATTCTGAAGACATCACATACACTTTGGCGTCTTCTGCCAGCACGTGAAGACTTTGGGGATTCAATTGGCATACCCCCAGTGGCTGTTATTGGCCCTCTTTCCTGGTTTTGGTGTTATGTGTGTTTATATATTTGACTGAATTATTTAGTATGTTATTTTAAATGCTGTTTTAATGCTCAGAGGTTTTAATGTTTTCATGTTTGCCATCTGGGGGACCCTATTTGGGTGGGAAGGGGGGCATAAAAATGTTTAAAATACAATAAATAAATGTAAGTGACAATAGATTGGTTTTATACCTTTTATTTCATTCATCGATACCCCACCCTTCACCACAATGGGAACCCAAAGCAGCTTACATCATTCATCTCTCCTGCATTTTCTCCTCGCCATAGCCCCGTGAGGTAGGTTAGGCTGAGAGAGTGTGACTGGCCCAAGGTCACCCAGAAAGCTTCCAGGGCATGAGTGGAGATTTGAAGCTGCGTCTCCCTGATAATAACCCAACACTCTTAGCCATTACACCACACTCACTCTCCTTAACCACTACACCAGTCTGGTTTCAGTAATTCTATGGATGAAGTGATGTCGCACCATTTAATAGAAGTATTGAACCCAAGGGCTATCTTTTGGCTATGCTCCTGCAGAGTCCAGGGGGTTGGACTAGGTGACCTGTAAGGTCCCTTCCAACTCTAACATTCGATGATTCAAAGTCACTGTCCCTTTGGTGGATGTACATGCCAATTCCGTGAGAAACACTGCTTTCTTCTGGGTTCCTGCTGTTGACAACTTCTTTTCTGAGCTATACTTCCAGTCTTCTTCCATTCCTGGATGTTTTCTCCTAATTCCTATATTGCATTCAGTTCCGTGGTCTCCTGATTATTCACAGAGAAACCACATTTTGGCATCCCACCTCAGGAGCTGGCAGCAGTGAAGTGTCGTCACTCTCCTTAACCACTACACCAGTCTGGTTTCAGTAATTCTATGGATGAAGTGATGTCGCACCATTTAATAGAAGTATTGAACCCAAGGGCTATCTTTTGGCTATGCTCCTGCAGAGTCCAGGGGGTTGGACTAGGTGACCTGCAAGGTCCCTTCCAACTCTAACATTCTATGATTCTAAGTCACTGTCCCTTGGGTGGATGTACATGCCGATTTAGTGAGAAGCACTCCTTTCTTCTGGGTTCCCGCTGTTAACAACTTCCTTTTTGAGCTATACTCCCAGTCTTCTTCCATTCCTGGATGCTTTCTCCTAATTTCTATATTGCATTCAGTTCCGTGGTCTCCTGATTATTCACAGAGAAACCACATTTTGGCATCCCACCTCAGGAGCTGGCAGCAGTGAAGTGTCGTTGGCTATCTGCAGACGATGTGGGCTTGGTGAATTGGGAACGATGTTTGTGTCACTTTGCTCTTGTGTCGTGATTAAAACCGAATTAATTATTCAAATGGGGAGCTACATAGCTAGGAAGCAGGTTGAAGAGGTGGCAGCTGAGCTGTTTGAAAGGAGCTGGCAGAGAACAGGGAACAGTTCAGGCTTCTCCAGCTTATATCATTTACCATCCTTGCAATAGAAGCTGTCAGGGAGTCACCCCCCCCCCCAAAATAAACACCCTTCTGTTAAATGCACATATATTAATTTACTTGAATTTATGCATTGTGTGGAAGACCATATTTATCCCACCAGTTTTTTGGTGGCAAAATTTCTCATCATTTGTGGTTTTATAAATTTTACATTAAATGCCATTTCATGGATCAGACACACACACACACACACACAAAAGGTAACCATTTTAATGGCAGTAACCTCTATCAAATTTCGTTAATATGGTCAGAAGAAAAGGGTTGGCTGCAGTTTCTCCCCCAGTGTGAAGCACAGTTTTTATGGGGAGAGGAATTTCTTTCCCCAAAATTAATGCTTTAGATGTGACCTTCGATTCCTAGACTAGACTACATCGCATAGGAAGTGACGTCGTCACGCTAGTGACTTCTGTACGATGCTCTCTGATATTTGGGCAAAGACTGTATCCTGGAAGCCAGTTTTACCAAAGAGTTTTCCCCAAATATCTGACCATCACCTGGAAGTCACTGGCATGACGATGTCACTTCCTGTGTGATGTTGCCAATGCGGCCTAGGCCTTCTTTCTTCTGGTAAGTCCTCCCCATCCTCTGCCGGTTGCCAGGAGGGACCTAACAACACTATGTTACACACAAAACACCGATTACTTATTTTTCGTGATCTTGTTTGCAGGGATGGGAGAAAACATTCTGCTTAGAGTCTATTGACCAGAAAAAGTACAGGAGCTAAATTCACAGGCTGATTCATTCCCTGCCCCTTTCCCTTGTTTTTGAGGGGGCAGGGTTTGGATGCCATTGGGCTGTGCAGATGTTGAGTAGAAAGTACCGGTAGAGAAAACCGGATTTTTGCCCCAGCCCCAATGTCTGTGAGTTCCTCTGAATGCCTGCTGATATCAGAGGTTTAAAAGTTTCCTCACAAAGGATGTGCCACACAATTCATATCCTATTTTTCGCTGTTCCTCTGATGTTGTCGAAGGGCATATGCATGAATATAGACATTTGGCTAAACGTGCAGAGGGCGGGACCAACTGACAAGATCCTGTCAGTATACTGTACCCACTTTTAAGTCATTCGCTGACCTGCTGTCTCCTGGATATTTTCTATCAATATTTCATAAGCTCATTTTTCTCCCCTTGGGATATGAATTTACCCTCCACAGGAGAAGGGGGGGGGCGAACCGCTGTATCATTATATCTCATGCTGGTCAGGAAGTCAGGTAGTTATTATACAGCTGATATTTCTGGGCTGCCGAGGCACATACTTTATCATCAAGAAATCTATTTTAAATCATAATATTCTAAAGATCACGGATGCATAACTATGATTTAAACAAGCAGTATTAACTCCTCAGAGAATTATCCTTTCCGCACATTTCTGAAGCGCTCCGTTCAGTCAAAGATGTCTTTCACAGGCCCACCAAAGTTGAAGAGATTGTTAACGATGACCGTCTCCCTTGTGATATGAATAGTTACAAAATGTACACAGTGGGTTTGAATTTAATTGCACAGGACTGATTGATCGAGTTTTAGGCAACTACTAATGGTTTGCATTATGGATAGTGCTGCCAGCTTGGGGTTGGGAAATCCCTGGAGATTTGGGGGGCAAAGCCCAGGATGAGCAGCATTTGGGGACAGGAGGGACCCCAGGAGGGTACAATGCCATAGAGTCCACTGGCTGAAGCAGCCATTTTCTCCAGGGAAACTGATCTTGGTACTCTGGAGATCAGTCGTAATAGCGGGAGTTCTCCAGGTGCCACCTGGAGGTTGGCGACCCTACTTATGAGTCTTTATGGGAAGGAGAAAGAGATATATCCCTTAGGGTTGCCAGCTTCCAGGTGGGGCCCCAGAGTTTTTCCAGAATTACCCTGATTTCCAGACAACCAAGATCAGTTCCCTTGGTTTCAGTGGCTCATCCCCACCTAGTTCCTTCCTCTACGGAAATTTTGTCCTGTGTGATGGCAAATCCTATCCAGTGACCACATGGTAGTGTGAATACTTTCCCATGAATACGACTTCTGATAATGTCGTGGAGAGACTGACCAGGAATAGTGACAGGATCAGCAGTTTCAGGTGGGATGGGCACTAATTTATTTCTCCTCAAGGCTTTCTAGGTATTTGAGAAAGGCATATAATACTCTACTAAACACCTATTTCAATAAAAAAAAGAAGTGTTAAAAGCAGCAGCTGCTAACCTGCTCTCGTTTGGGAGACCTGCATGGATACAGAAGCCAGCTAGCATAAATAATTCCAAGTGACAATCTCCTTCCACATACAAGATGTCTGGTGTACTTCTGTGGTCAAAGTACATCTGGAGAACTAGCCCACTGTGGGTAAAAATATGTATTGGAGGAAAATAAGTGAAAGCAAGGGAGAAATGGGAGCAAAGGTAAGAACCTGTATATTCTTTGCATTAGGGGGAAAAAATTAAATTGCACTAATGTGTATATCCAGCCAGCTCTCGCATGGTCAGTGAGAAGCCCTGCTGGGCAAAAGCGTCATCTGGCCACACCCACTTTCTAAAACTACTTGGGGGGCACCAGGAAAAAGTTGTGGAAGGTAACTCCCATGAGGATCAGCTCTTCAACCTGCCCTGTGAATGCATACAGCTGTTCTTCCCCACCCGAAAATGCTTCATCAACCGCTCCACCAATCGAAAGAACCTCCACCAGCTGGAGGACATGGAGGAAAGGGGGCTGGACCCCAACTTCGTGGAGCAAGGGCTCCAGTTCTGCCATCACGTCTATAAGACATCCAAGCCAAAGACCATCCCAAGAGGGCACGTCGTCACTGGGCGCTTACTAGCAAACTTGGTGGAGACCTACGTGGACATGATCCGCAGTGGGGGAGTGCCCTGCATGGAGAATGCAGTGCTGGCTCTGACTCAGATTGAGAATTCAGGCACCGTGCTGGAAGCCACTGACCGCTACATGGAGTTGATGGACCAGAAGCTGGAGCTGCCCACGGAAACCCTCCAGGAGCTTTTGGGGATCCATGCAAAATGTGAGGAGGGGGCCCTTCAGGACTTCATGACCTGTGCCTTCAAGGATGACAAACAGCAGTTCCAGGCTGAGCTGATGCGAGCCCTGGATCAGAAGGAGGAGGCGTACTGCCGTAAGAACGAACTGGAATCCTCCAAACGCTGCAAGGCGCTATTGATGCAGCTCTCAAAGTAACTGGAGGCCAGGACCAACAAGGCTTTCTATCCCTGACCTGGTGGCCATCGGGATTATTCCAATGACCTGAAAACCATAGAAGTGAGATACCACCAGGAATCAGGGAAAGGAGTCATGGTGAGGATTTATATTTTCTTTGAGTACTCCGGGCTTCTGTTAAACTTTGGTGGGCCCAACACATGAAAGGGATCACATCTCAGATTTAATTTTTTTGCACTGAGCCTTTGAATGAAAGTTTGGTTTCAGGGCTGGAGGCGTGGTCTGACCACTATCTACTCAAGGCAAACGTGAAGGTTGATTGAATTGCCTCTATCTGTGCTATTCCCCTTGAATCCCAGTGAGAAAGGTGGACTATAAATAACGCAAATAAATAAATAAAGATTGATAAGGGATAGGATATGCACAGAATCCCACGAAGATGTGGTTGACTGTGTAATGAAGTTCAAACACAGCTGAGTTAAAAAAAACTGAATACTTTTTTTAAAAAAAGTTGTGTTCAGATTCCAGCTTCTCTCCAAGCTCAAATTTTGAAGTTTAGAAACACAAATTTTAGCGGTGAGCCATCAGTTTCACTGATTGCATCTAGGCAATGTATCAAGAATGCCAAGTATGAGCTGCCCACCACTACTACCAACTACCACTATTGAACATCTGCGGTACAGGGCCAGCCCTAACGTGGAGAGAGAGCCATATCTCCGCAGGAGGCCGGAAGATCGCTCAGCCAGGAATTTTGGGGGGTACATCTTAGAGAGCGCCACTTAAGCTAATGAAGTATCGACTAAGACTGCAAGCACTTTAACTATTAGGGCATTTTAAATGTATGACTGTTTTAATTTGTTTAAAATGTTTTATGGAGACTAGGCACATTGTACCGACCTTTGTAAGCTGCCCTGAGCCTGTTCGCGGGGAGGGCGGGGTATAAATGTAATAAATAAATAAAATAAATGAATGCATCCATCTTACTGTTTTAAAGGTATAGATTTTCTTCTGGAAAACTGCACTGGCAGTTTATGTAACTGTGGAGGGGAAAAAAATTTTCGTTTCCCTCAGACTAAGTATTCTTTGTCTGTTTGAACTGGTTTGGCAACATAGCGGTGTCATGGGATACTGAGTAACAGAGCACGGGACAAAAATCAACATTCTGTAGCTAATTCAGAGTAGTTTATTACTCCTCCCCCCCACTTTCTTAAATTCATGCTTTAGTGGTAATATTTATTTATTTATTTATTTATTTGTACAACAGGCTCAGGGCAGGTTACAACATGATTAAAAGATACAACATAATTGAACTATAATACAACCTTAAAATCTATAATATTATTAATTAGTCAATTCACAAAACGTTACTAAAACATTATTAAAACTTGTGATGGCATCTGCTGCACAATTAAAAGTTCCGAGGGATTCTGATTGTGGGTAGCAGTAAAAGGAACGGTGCAGAGAAATGGGTAGGTGAGAAAATCAGCCATGATGGAATAAAGCCGGGCAGAGCAGGGGAGGCCTGGATACATGACTTGCTGCCATCTCAACAATTATTAATTTTGTTATTTATTTATTAATCATCAATTAATTATTGTTTTTGTTAATTAATCACATCTTTTTTCCTCCCAGAGAAGAAAGGTGGGGCTGTATTTATGTTCATAAAATGCAAGTCTGTAACAACAGAGCAGTTGTTGAACATACATGAAGCTGCCTTGTACTGAATCGGACCCTTGGTCCATCAAGGTCAATAGTGCTCTGTTATGCACAGGTGTTTTCCCTCACTTTTACTGTGCATGTCCATCGGGTTTTCTTTATAATTCTGCATTGATTTTCTTCCCTTCCGCTCTCAGTTCGCTTTCTAGTAGCTGTTTCTCCAGGTTTTCTGAGAGTGCTTTTGTGTCCATTTCCCCCTTGTTTCACATCTAAGCGGAACATATTTCAAACGCATTGAGATTCCCTAGGATTCCCCCCCTGCCCGTTTGCTGTCCCTCGAAGGTCACTCCGCCACCCTCATCGAAGTCGTTCTGCTCTCTCCTCACCTTCCACCATCCTTCCACCATTCATCCATGAACAAGCTCCATTTCAACCACATTATAAAAAAAATATTTTTTTGACAAGTGGAATGAGTCTACTGATATGAGAGTATTGCTAGTCTCAGATCACAGAATTAAAAAATGGCAAGGGGGAGTTTAAAAGGAGGTGCCTGGGGTTTAGTTCCCTGCTAGTTTTGACTTGAAAGGGGTATTGGAGAGAAGGCAAAGGGCAGTGTCCCCAGTGCAAAAAACCCAAACAAAATAAGAGGGTGTGTGTGTCAGCATGGAAAGAAATTAACATGAGATATAAAGAGATAGAGACAGTGGAATGGAAAGCTGGCAAAGAGTCTAAGCCTGGACACTGTGTGTCCCCAGGGCAATTGTATACTAGTAACCAGACTGTTACTTAATTTTTTTAAAAAAAGATTTATAAAATTTATTTCAATTTCTATCAATATGCAAATTCAAGCTATAATCAACACATTACTCTAACGTCATGTAGCAAGAAAACAAGAAAGGCTAGCTTAACTATCCATAACTTTTCAGAATCTGTGTTACATGGTATAAACCCCAAATTCAAACTCAAACGCCAAAGCCCAGGTGTACTCTACATCACTAGCACATGCAATTCAAACAGTTCATAGTTTTAGGCCTTAGTCCATCAGGATCCCAGTTAGTCTCTCTTCTTCTGGGCTTTATTTTATTTATTTATTTAATTTATAACCCACCCTCCCCGCCGAAGCGGGCTCAGGGCGGCTTACAGTCAGGCACCAGCCAACACATAAAACATTTAAAACCATTTAAAACATTCTACAAAAATACAATATAAAGTGCTCCAGATGTTCCAGTTGATCTTCTATCAAGATGACGTATGCTACTGCTCTACCGACTCAGTGTCATCTGCTCCACGTAGTGCCGATGTTCTTTCTTCCAGGGCCAGGTGATGATGGTACAGTAGTGGTAGCTCCTACTCAAATGCCTGGCGGAAGAGCTCCATCTTGCAGGCCCTGCGGAACTGCCCTAGGTCCCGCAGGGCCCGGATCTCCTCCGGGAGCTCATTCCACCAGGTAGGAGCCACCACCAAAAAAGCCCTGGCCCTGGTAACGGCCAGCCTGGCCTCCTTCAGGCCTGGCATTGCCAGGAGGTGTTGCGACCCCGACCGTAGTGCCCATGGGGGAACATATGGGGAAAGGCAGTCCCTTAGGTATGCTGGACCCCGACCATATAGGGCTTTAAAGGTAAGAACCAGCGCTTTGAAGCGGATCTGGTACGCTATCGGCAGCCAGTGCAGCGCTTTCAGCGCAGGTCGGATGTGGTCCCTACTAGGAAGACCCATCAACAGCCTGGCCGCAGCATTCTGCACCAGCTGCAGCTTCCAGATTTGCGACAAAGGCAGCCCCATGTAGAGAGCATTGCAGTAGTCTAGTCTCGAAGTGACCATCACATGGATCACTGTGGCCAAGTCCCTGCGGTCGAGGAAGGGAACCAACTGCCGCACCAGCCGAAGATGGTAAAAAGCTGACTTAGCAGTGGCTGCTACCTGGGCCTCCATAGTTAGTGAGGAGTCCGGGAGCACTCCCAAACTCCTAACCTCCTGTGCTGGCACCAGAAGCACCCCATCGAAGGTCGGGAGAGGGAGCCCCAACCCCAGACCACCCCGACTCAGGCCCAGGACCTCCGTCTTCGCCGGGTTTAACTTCAGCCGACTCAGTCGGAGCCAACCAGCCACAGCCTGTAATGCCTGGTGCAGATCTTCTGGACTAGAGGCCGACTGACCGCCCAACATCAGATAGAGCTGGGTGTCATCTGCATATTGATGACACCCAAGCCCATACCTCCGGACATATATAGTTCAATTATAGTTTGTTTGTTTGTTTGGCGCAGCAATCTCAGGTGATGATGAAATCCAATCAGGACATGTTCCCAGGAGAAGCCTCTAGAAAATTACCCTTAATTCTCCTCTCCCCAACCAACGGGCCACAGGTTCTCATGAGGAGCCAATCGCTCCACTTCCATCTCTAGCCTTGAAATGATAAGGCTGAGAGACCAATTAGTGATACTGTCAGGTTCCACAGCAAGTAACTCTTCACACACGTTTCTCCTGAAGCGTTACGTTTATTAAGGCACAAGACTGGTACCATGTCCACAGGATTATTGTTAGGAATGACTAGAAGGTGGGAACACCCAATAGATTTAGTCGAGCAAGGCCACTAGCTAAGCAAATGAACTTCGAGCTCATGCGCACGCAGGATTGCTCCCGGCAGGTGATTACATAATGAGCAGGGGAGTAGCAGGGCATCCTGAGCAGAATAATTCACACCAAAAGTGAACCGCAAGCTCATCCCACCTCACAAGGCCAGACTGATAACGGCGTCTAGCTCCCACGTCTCTCCCAAGCATGATTACTGCCAGCTGCGAGCTGCAAGCATGGGAACATGGGGGGGGGGGAGGAGGACAAAAATGGCAGCTAGCTGACATCCTGCTCCCTCCAAACCACATTATCCCCCTCCCACAGCCGATAGGGGACCGCCCAGCTTTTCTGGGAATTGGGCATAAGATTTACGCAGGAGTTTGGGGGCCCGGACGTCTTTCCCCGCCACCCACTCCCGATGTTCCGGACCCCAATGCATCCATTCCACCAGGTAGAACAATTGTCCACGTTTCATTTTAGAGTCCAGAATTGCAGATATTTCATGATGTTCCTCCCCCTCCACCAGAATTGGGGGTGGCCGAGCTGGCTCTGGGTGCCAGGGATTAGACGTTGGACAGGACTTCAGTAGGATGAAATGGAAAATTGGATGACACACTTAGGCAAGTCTAATTCAACTGTCACTTCATTAATTAGCCTTACAACTTTAAACGGCCCAATGTATTTCCACGCCAACTTCCGGCACGACTGGAAGGATGGACTAGGCCTGTTCCTGTTCACATTGATCCTTGAGGGGGAGACCAGGGGTGCTTTGCCTCAGAGAAGCCTAAAGCTTT